AGGCCCTGACGCTGCTTGCCCTGTCCCAGGAGAAGGAGAGGAACGCGCGCCGGAAGAAGAAGAAGGCCCCGGCCGCCGCCAGCGAGGAGGCCGCCTTCCCGCCCGTGGTCGAGGACGAGGAGATGGAGGCGTCGGGCGCCAGCGGGAACGAGGAGGAAATGGCGGAGGAGGCAGAAGGTGAGGGCGGTCGGTGGGAGCTGACCTTCCCCAGAAACGTCTGGGTCCTTCTGAGGGGCCTGGCCCGCCTCACAGGGGAGAGCGAGGTGGTGACAGTGATGGTGTGATGGTGATGGTGGTGAAAATGATGGTGAAGAAGATGGTGATGGTGGTAAGAATGGTGATGGTGATGATGATGGTGGTGATTGTGGTGATGGTGGTGATGATGGTGATGATGGTAAGTATGGTGATGGTGGTGATGGTGATGATGGTGATAAGGTTGGTGGTGATAGTGATGATGGTGAAAATGATGGTGAAGAAGATGGTGATGGTGATTGTGGTGATGATGGTGGTAAGGATGGTGGTGGTGATGGTGATGGTGGAGATGATGGTGATGGTGGTAAGTATGATGATGGTGGTGATAATGGTGATGATGGTGATAAGGTTGGTGGTGATGGTGATGGTGATGTGGTGGCAACAGCGGTAACCGAGGCTCTGGGCCCACGGGCACTGTCCGTCCCGCCCTCCTGACCCTGTGAAGATCAGCACAGCCCTAGTGACACCTGGTGTCCTATCACATTTTAGAAAAAAAAATTTATTTTTTGAAAATAGTTTTTTGACCTGAACTGTTGACAAGTTGAACCAACCTGTTGGTCGAGAATATCCCGTCTGGTTGATACATCGCACGACTGAGGCTCGGGCTGCGTCGTGTCCCAGGCAGCGCCCCGGTGTCCGGGCGGCGTTCCTGCCCCGTCCTCGGGGAACCCTCCCCCGGGTGCTGCTCAGGGGGCAGTGAGGATCGGTCACCCGGTGCCCGAAGGAGGGTTCTGGCCGCAGCCGAGAGGTC